TTTGGATCATGTTGAGGTCAAAAGGGAGGAAGTATTGGGGATCGTGAAAAACTATAAGGTAGACAAGTACCCAGAGCTTGATTGGATATACCCCAGAATACTGTGAGAGGGAAGGGAGGAAACTACTGGGGCCTTGAGTGAAATCTTTATAACCTCACTGGCTACAGGGGAGGTCCCAGAGGATTGGAGAATAGCCAACGTGGTTACTTTGTTTAAGAAGGGTGGCAAGGACAATTCAGCTAATTACAGGCCGGTGAGCCTTACGTCCGTGGTAGGCAATATATTGGAGCAGATTCTACGAGACAAGATTTACTCCCACCTGGAAATCAGTGGGCTTATCAGAGAGAGGCAACATGGTTTTGTGAAGGGGAGGTCGTGTCTCACTAACTTGGCTGAGTTTTTTGAGGGAGTGACGAAGATGATCGGTGAGGGTTAGGGCAGTGGATGTTGTCTACATGGACTTCAGTAAGGCCTATGACAAGGTCCCTCATGGCAGACTGATACAGAAGGCAAAGCCGCATGGGGTCAGAGCTGAGCTTGCAAGATGGATATAAAAAAAATGGCTTGGTCATAGAAGACAGAGGGTAGCGGTGGAAGGGTGTGTTTCTGAATGGAGGGTTGTGACTAATTGCATTCCTCAGGGATCAGTGTTGGGACCTTTGCTGTTTGTAATATATATAAATGATTTGGAGGAGAATGTAACTAGTCTGATTAGTAAGTTTGCTGATGATACAAAGGTTGATGGAATTACGGCTAGTGATGAGGACCATTATATGATACAGCTGCACATAGATCGTTTGGTGACTTGGGCAGAGAGATGTTAGATGGAGTTTAATCCGGAAGAATGTGAGGTAATGCATTTTGGAAGTTCTAATCCAGATGTAAAATATACAGCAAATGGCACAACTCTGACAAGTACTGATAGTCAGAGGGATCTGGGTGTACAGGTACACAGGTCACTGAAAGTGGCAACGCAGGTGGAAAAGGTGGTCAACAAGGCATATGGCATGCTGACCTTCATCGGCTGGGGCATTGACATTAACAATTGGCAGGTAATGTTGCAACTTTCTCGAACCTAAGTTAGGCCACATTTGGAATATTGTGTTCAATTCTGGTCGCCCCACTACCAGAAAGTTGTGGTGGCTTTCGAGAGGGTACAGGAAAGATTTACCAGGATGTTGCCTTGTATGGAGGATATTAGCTATGAGGAGAGGTTGGAGAAACTTGGGTTTTACTCACTGGAATGACAGAGGTTGAGGGCAGTCTGATAGAGGTCTACAAGATTATGAAGGGCATGGACAGACTCGACAGTCAGAAACTTTTTTCCCAGGGTGGAAAAGTCAGTTACCAGGGGCCATGGGTTTAAGATGTGAGGTGCAAGGTTTAAAGGTGATGTACGAGACAAGTTTTTTTTATCAGAGTGTGGTGGGTGCCTGGAACACGCTGCCGGGAGAGGTAGTGGAAGCAGATACTGTAGTGACTTTTCAAGGTCGTCTTGACAAATACATAAATAGGATGGGAATAGAGGGATACAGTCCCTAGAATGGTAGGGGGTTTTAGTTGTGACGGGCAGCATGTTGGTGCGGGCTTGGATGGCCGAAGGGCCTGTTCCTGTACTGTAATTTTCTGTGTTTTTTGTTCTTGTTTTTGTTCTATTTTTTTGTAGTTATGAGGTGTTCCTTGCGCTTTTGCATTAATGATTGCAAATCCAGCATTCATTTAGCTCCTGACACTCAACATATTCCAGAATGTTCTGATCATCGCTGTTATATCTTTTCTCAATAAGGGTCACTGGACCTGAAATGTTAACTTTGATTTCTCTCCACAAATGTTGCGAGATCTTCTGATTTTTTAAACTGCAATTTCTGCTTTTGTTGCTGTTATGTTAGTATTTGTTGAAGTTCAACAAGAGTTAACTGGTATCTAACAAATAAAACACTCGTATAAATATCTGGCAAGGGACAGAAGCTGTCAAAAATCGAGGCAGTATACAGCAACCTTGGCGAATTGCTGCATTAAGAGGACATTTATTTTGGATGAACAAGACCTCATTCGCTTCCAATTCTAATGCCTCAAGCTGAAGGCAATGATCCGACATGAAGTGATCTGTTTTGCAAATGTGAACTTGCTCACTTTCACTCTGAAAAGTCACAGTCTCTGACTGACCTTTCGCTCATCTTGGCTAAATGTTATTTTTGACAATATAGTACACTAATGTTCCCAACAATTGCCATTACTTGAGTATTTGATTGGACATGACAATTACTGATTCTCATAGCAATGTAATCAGTCCCTTGCTCGAATCCACATTCGATGCATGCGTTTGATGTTTACAGTCATCTCTTTTACTACGGTTATCTTCATATGTATTTCTTTCCTGTATATTCAACATTCCTGTATGGTTATGATGTATCTTCGTCTAGTATTACTCCTTCCCTGCTTGCATTATTTACACACTGTGTCAAGAAATCCTTCTGATTCGTCCTTACAAATTTTGCCCCGTACAAGCCCCTTATTAATGCATTTGCTGTTGTTCCATCTTTGTGGATGTTTGTGCACAGGAGCCGCTTTTATACTTATTTTATTGGCCATTCAAAGCACAATCATTATTGCACTGACTGCTGTAAGGACCTTTCAGGAGGGTTTCATAACACAGTATTTAAACAGTCCAACCAAGGAAGGGATTTGACGATTCAGGAACACATCAGAACCATACTGCTTTCCAACTGAGGATCATGCTGCAAGCGTATATATTTTATGCAGTGTCATGAGAATGAATTAGATTTGTTGGGAGTTCAACAAGCGACATTCCTGAATTTTCCCTCTTTCCATCGCTTTCCTCACTTTTTTTCTTCTATTTCAGCTAATTTGGCAGTAATTGCTATCTTGCCTCGAAGAGGATGTGGTCTCTCCGTATGCATCACATATTACCTTGTGTCCATGGCGGTGACAGATCTCTTTGTCATGGTCATTGCTGTAATATTAAACCGAATAGCTGGAATGTTCTTCCCATCCAGTTTCCTATTCATCACGCCGATATGCAGTCTCCGTATTGTCTTAATCTATATTGCCATAGACAGTTCTGTTTGGTTAACGGTCGCCTTTACATTTGATCGATTTGTGGCCATATGTTGCCAAAAATTGAAAATGAAGTACTGTACTAAAAAGATGGCAGTGCGTATTATAACAATTGTCATGGTATTGGTCTGCGGAAAAGATACCTTTTTATATTTTGTCTATGAACCTGTTTACATAAGTAACAATGTACCCTGGTTCTGCGTTTTAAAATTGATGTTTTATTCATCACCTGCATGGGTCGCATACGATGTCATTCGCTCAGTTTTAAATCCTTGTCTCCCATTCATTCTGATTTTATTGCTCAATGGTCTGACAGTTAGACACATTCTAGCAGCCAATAGGGCCCGCAGGCGACTCCGGACCCGGAACAGTGGAGAAAATCGGAGAGACCCCGAGATGGAAAAACGAAAGAAATCAATGGTTTTACTTTTCACCATCTCAGGCAGTTTCATCCTGTTATATTCATTATTTTTTGTAACGATTCTTTACGTCCGGATTGGGAAAGTTATTTATTTCTCAGGTTCTAATTCCAATGGATCTTCATTTAATTTGGAGGAAACCGGGTATATGCTTCAGTTCTTGAGTTCCTGCATCAATGCATTTATTTATACTGGAACACAGAACAAGTTCAGAACAGAATTGAAGAATGGAGTGAAGTATCCAATCAGTCTGTTTATTAAAATAGCAAACTTACGAAAAAGTTAAAATCCAACATGAATTATGCTTTGATTCTATCTTCTACTGTGCGTTATGACACACAGTCTCCCTTCCAAGGCGCAGTGAATTTGTAACATTTTCTCTTCGTGTAAAACTAAGAATGTGCAAGCAACTTTAAATCCCTACGGGAATCCATACTGCAAACGTTTCAATATTATGTATTAGTTAAATTTCTCGTGTAGACTCTGGTCTGGCACATTAACAGTTGTTGAGAACGAGAGGTACGAAAAGAGTCGGAATCAGGACACAATAATTTAGGCAGGCGTGAGCTCTACGTTTAAAATCATCGAGAACAAAGATCTTGTGCAGTGATCATCGCCTTTGATTCCAACAATCCTTTAACATTCCTAAATAAACTGCAAATTCAGATATCGGTTTATATTTAAGAGTGTAAAATTCTTGAATTGTCGACGTAGCGAAATGTTTTGCCATTTAAGATTAATAATAGTTCAGCTATTTATTCAGTAATGTCATCTTCTTTGGTCAGCTCAAGAGACAAGATACTCGTCTAAAGATTTCATCTTCTGGTCCTACTTCTGTTTCCTGGTTAGAATTGGTCGAAGTGCCATGTATAAAATGGCGGCTATGTTCTTTTCGTTCTGAGATGTGCAAAATGTGACTTTGTTGCATATGCCATATCAAGCAATGGCCCAGCAAATGACGGTATCTTCGCTAAGGGAGTTTGAAAAAAAAAAGACGTGATGTACATCCTCTGAGATGATGATGTCTCTCCTTCATACATTCAGGGAGATGCTATATGTATTCTAGCTCTGCCCCCTCTGGATCACAACTGCACAGGAACAGGAACAGACCATTCAGCTCCTCGATACTCCTTTGCCATTCAATAAGTTCATGCTGGATTGTGTGCTAAATGTACTTTCCTGCTTTTGGCTTGGTTTTATACAAAAGCTTGTCGATCTTAGATTTAAAACTAACAATTGAATTAGCATTAATCGCCGTTTTAGGAAGAGAGTTGCTAACTTTCAGTATTCATTTCATGGAAGAGTATTTCTGACATTTCTCTAGTATGGTCTGGCTCTAATTCACGCACGATGCCCCTGATCATAGACTCAAATGAAATAGTTTATCCTTATCTGTTATGCAATTTCCTATTTATATGCTGTTAACCTCGACTCGATCACCTCCTAACATTTTAGATTTTCGTGAATACTGACGTAGTTTTGTCTAATCTCACTCCTGATGTCCAGGCATTATTTCAATAAACGTGTGTTGATCTCACTTCAAAGCCAGTACAACGATCTGAAGGTGTGGTGCCCAGACTAGCGCACAGTACTCTCAGTGGAGTCATAGTAGACTTTTATGTGACTGCAGGACTCTGCATAACTCTACTCCAGCTCTTCAGATATTATGGCTAAAATTCCATTAGACGTTTTAACTGTTTCTTTGCACCTGTTCGGGGCATTGTAAAGGGCAATACACCTGAACACCAAATTCTGGTTGATCATGCACTGTATTTAACGTTATGCTTTTTAAAGAGTGCCATCACATATGTTGTTTTCCGATCTCAGAAAGGGTAACCTCGCACTTGCAAACTTCATTCTCCAATTTTATTTGTTAACTTCCTTTCCCCGTTCACACAATCTATCAATGTCCTATTGTAATATTATGCTTTCGTCAACACAGTCGACAATGCTCCTAAATTTTGTGTCATCAGCAAACTTGAATATTTGACTTTTCTATGTCACAATCCACATCATCAATGGATATTATAGACAAGTGTGCAACAAACACAATCGGCGGAGAATATAGCAAGTGGAGTAGACCATTTCAGAACCCCGATGCTTCTGCACAATTCAAAAGATCATGGCTGATCTGTGACTTAATTCTGTACGCCTTTCTTCAGCCTTACTTAATACATAAAAAAAATTCTCAGATTTAAATTCAACAATTCACATAGGATCAAGGACCTTTTAAGGAGCAAAGCTACAAATTTCCACAAGTCTATGCTCCCTGCGGAGCAAGATGAGTCATGTCATGACATTTTGAGAACTTACCAATTTTCTTCAACTCTCTGTTTCCTCCCGCTCAACACATTGTCTAACAACGTCAGCAATTGGCTCTCACTCTCCTGGGCTTCTACTTTACCTAGAAATCATCCATCAAAATACATCTGGAAAAAAATACAAAATTCCTTGACTTACCTCTGTCCACCATCTTTGTCACCTCTTAAAATTCCTCTATGACGTTTGACAAGGATGGCCTACGCTTCATGAATCCCTGAAAAGTTAATCAGATATATCGAATTTTTTCGATGTGATCAACTGTCCTATCTTTTGTAAAATATTCCAACAATTTCTGCACCACAAAATGTCAGCCAAATTTGTTGGGAAATTACTAGTTTCATTTTATTGCCATCCTTAAAGAGCAGGGTGACATAAGCGAATTTCCAAACAAGAGGTAAAATTCCTGACTACAGGGAATTCTGAAAAAAAAAAGAAAATTGTAGGGCACCAGCAATATACTGAACTGCCTCCTTTACGACATCTGGATGGAAGCCCTAAGGAGGTTTGTCACAGCTCACTTCCATTAATTTTACCATTGTTGATGGTTTATTGGAAAGAATCTTATTCTTTTTATCTCCTTGGGTCTTCTGACAAATAATCCTCCCCTTCTACTGTGAATACTGAAGCAAAACAACCGCTCAGTATCTGTGCCATGTCCCATTACTCAATGATTATATCCCTGCCCTCACCCTTGCTGCACGCAGTCATTTGGTATCGTTTGCAAATGTTTGACTCTCACAATTCCTTTACCCCATAACACTGGTGCCTATGCAGAAAGATTAGTAATTTATTAGGGAAACTATTTACTGCGGCACACATTGCATGACAATATATTTTATCTTTCCCTGATTTGTACTGGATGCTGCCGGATATTCTGCATGGAAGTTACTTTGCTTCGGGCCAATAGTACTCTTAAACAGTTGTTTTCCATTTGTATAACTACAAAATACCCGCTGATTGTGTTTTATGTCTCTTGCAAGGTTCATTTCATAAATCTTTTGTTAGCAAGTCTGATACCCTGTTTTGTGCCCCTTAATTGGTCTTCGTATTTCTCTATTCTGCGTTATCTGTAGTTTTCTTGTGTGTCTTAAAAGTCCTTTCTTTTAATGTGTTCCATATTCCATGTGTGTTCTATATTCGTCACTGCTAATGCCTGAATCCCATCACCCACAAGAGTGTGGATTTTCCTGTGTGCCCAGTCACTCCAGTCTTTGATTTTATCCATATTGTTAGTGAGTTTTTTTTTTTCTTTTGTCACGCTGGAGCATAATTTTACATTGCTTCACAGATCATGATTAAACGCTGTGAAATCTGGATAGCCCATCATCATGCCTCAGGAAATTTTGCTGCATGTAGTCATTTGGTATTGTTTGCAAATGCTTGACCACCATCATTCCTTTCCCCCATATCAGTGGTACCTATGCAGAGAGGTTAGCAGTTTCTCACAGAAACTATTTTCTGTCGCACACATTTCATGACAAAATATTTTACTTCTTGATTTGAATTGCATGCTGCCTGATATTACGCACTGAAGTCACTTTGATTCGGGCCATTTGTGATCTTCCATTTCAGCAAAATATCACCTGGAGACGCCACAGTTCTTTACAAGTCAGTTCATGTTTCTACATGGTTCTGCTTAGAAACAAACTCCTATTATTTCTGCGGTATTTGGCTAAGTGGCTACAATGTCGCTCAATGAAACGCTTAGCAGTGAGAAAGGTGCACCCTTCTGGATGTCAATGTCTCTGGTTCCTTCATTGGTGTCAAGAATGCAGGTGCTTGTTTTAACTGAAGTCTACTGATTGTTCAGTTACTTTCTCTCTAGTAACTTCCAATTAACTGGCCTTATTGACTTCTGCACCCGGCTGATATCATTCCCTCTGCCCCACATTAGGTCGCAATATTAATATTTTGAAGTTAATCGAAGATCTCATCATGCTGCCGTGAAGGACCTACTACATACAATGAGATGCAATACTTAATTGCGCCTTTACGTTGCATTTTCCTTTCGGGTTTTTGATACACTCCGTCAGATCTTTAGCAAATAATAAATAACTTGTCCTCATCCTTCTATGCTTTACCTATTCATGCGTCTGTCAAGATGCTTGTTGCTATTGTATCGATTACTAGTACCTCGTCTTGGTATATTCCAAGTACCCACCACGCACTGTGTAAAGAACCTGCCTCTGGCGTGTCCTTTAAATTTCCCCCCTTTTACCTTATACCTACATCTCAGAGTAACTGACAGTTTTACACTGGCGTGACAGACTCTACCTTTCCACTTTATCAATCCTCTCTTAACTTTTAAATTCTAACAGGTCATCGCTGAGCCTCTGATGTCCAAGAGAAAGCAAACTGAGATTCTATACTTACTATCCGACAAACAATGTGAATCGTTCAGGGTTATGTTCATGCATTGATCATTTTATTCATGCTTCGAACCGTGGTAATATCAAACAGGAATAAGTAATGGGGTGACACATCTATTTATTCCATTGGCTCAAATAGTTAAAACTTGAGTGAAGAAAAATCCATAACTGTGCATTTCATTGCAGGATTTCATCTTCCTCTCTATATCACCCTTAAACCCATTGTGAAAAACAATAGGTCAAATTCCCATTCAGCATATGTCGATAAGAATACGTAAACTGCATTGAATCCGCACCGTGTGTGTGTGTTGAATCCGTACAGATTGTCAGAGTTCTGTTTTCAGTTCACTTTCTAACTTAGTTGCGAGTGTAACATCATGATGTTTGTAGTGTCCTTAAAGATGTAGGTCAATTTAGAGGTTAAGAGATGGTTTTATGGTTTTTCAGGAAGATAGGACTGATTTGTTTTCACTAACAGTAGTATTTTATAAAATTCCAATTTAGAGGAAAAGCAGCACACCTTCTCTCTCCCTTGCACCTCTCCTTGAGCCTTAGTCCCGTACGCATCAATGGCCTGGATTGAATTCAATGTCGTTCATGAGACATGTGTTGTCTTGAAACTGGCAGATGTTCAGATACATTCTGACGCAATAGTTGCACCTGCAATCTTGTTGATGATACTTTACTCATTTCATCAATGAAATGATGTGACTAAAGGGGCAGGTGATGGCCTCGTGATATTATCACTGGATGTTAATTCAGAAAACCAGATAATGTTCTGGGGACCCTGGTTCAAATCCCTCCACGACAGATGCTGGAAATTGAATTCATTAAATAAATATCTGGAATTAAGAGCTACCTGAGAAAGTGGTGAAGATCATAAATCCATTGCTGATTGTCAGGGGAAAAACCTATCTGGTTCACTAATGTTCTTTTTGGAAAGAAACTGCCATCCTTACCTGTTATGGCCTGTATGACTCCAAACCCACAGCAACGTAGTTGACTCTTAACTGGCCTCTGGGCAATTAGGGATTGGCAAAAATGCTGCCTGGCCAGCGATGCCCTAATCCTCTGAATGAGGAAGGAGTAAAAAAAAGAAAGGTGGGCATTGACTAACATTCGTGGATTGGAATGCAACCTATTGGCTCCAGTTCTCTGACATTTATAACTGTTGATTGGAATCCTCACTCCAGCTGTTTGGAGATGCTGTACTTGGTCACATCAATGAGAGACATTTTAAATGCCCAGCCTGCAGGAAATGCTACAAAACCCCCTGGACCTGATATCCCACCAACATGTTCACTCTGAGAAGAGACCATTCAGGTGTGCTCACTTTGGGACTGGGTACAGGTGATCATCTGATCTCACAGAGCACCAGCAGGTTCACACTTGGAAGACACCGTTCAGCTGCTCCGAGTGTGGAAGGGGATTCACTCGGTCGTCCAACCTTCTGAGACACCAGCAAGTTCACACTGCGGAGAGATCTTTCAAATGCCCAGACTGTGGGAAGTGCTACAGAAGCTCCTGGGAACTGAATTGTCATCAATGTGTTCACACTGAGGAGAGACATTTTAAATGCTCAGACTATGGGAATCCCTATGCACATTCTTGGGGACGGTTTTATCGTCAACGTGTTCACACTGAGGAGAGTCCTTTCAAACGTCTAGTCTGTGGAAAGTGCTATCGAAGTTCTGTCGAACTGATGTCCCGTCAACATTTTCACATGATGAGGCACCTTTCGGGTGCTTTCATTGTGGGTCTGGGTCCAGGTGATCATCTCAACTCTGAGTGAACCAGCGAGTTCACACTGGGTAGAAAGCATTTACCTGCTGCATGTGAGGAAAAGACAGTTGGGTCACTCATCGGCCCTGCTGAGACAGCAGAGAGTCACCCTGGGGGACAGACCATTCACCTGCTCTGTGTGGGGGAAGGAATTCACTTACTTATCAATCCTGCGAAGACGACATGGCATTCACAGATCTCAACAGTAATTGGACTTTGCAGTTCATCACATTCAGGACTGAAAGCAAAGTTTTAATATTCTGGATAAAAGTCAAATAAATTAGCTTTGTATTAAACACAGTGTGGCAGGTCACTGTAAGGATGTAATCATGGAGTACTTGGAAGAGTCAGCATGGCTTCCACAAGGGGGCTTCATGCCTGACAAATCTGATGGAATTCTTTGAGGACGTACTGAACAACTTGGACGAAGGGGAGCCAGTGGATGTAGTCTGTTGGATTTTCAGAAGGCATTGACTAGGTGCCATACAGGAAGCTGCTAAATAAGGTAAGTGTCCATGGTGTTAGGGACAAAGTACTGGCATGGATTGAGGATTGGCTGACTGGCAGAAGGCAGAGAGTTGGGATAAAGGGGACTTTTTCAGCATGACAGCTGGATGACTTGTGGAGTTGAGGAGGAGTGAGTGTTGGTACCACACCTATTCACATAATGCATGAAAAATCTGGACAAAGGAATTGAGGGCATTGTTGCTAAGTTTGCAGATGGCACAATGATAGGTGGAGGGACAGGTTGTATTGAGGATGTGGGAAGGCTTCAGAATGACTTGGACAGGCTAGGAGAGTGCACAAAGAAGTGGCAGGTGGTACACAGTGTGGGAAAGTGTGACGTTATATATTTTGGTGGGAAGAGTAAAGGCATAGACTATTTTCTGAACGGGGAAAAACTTCAGAAAGCTGAAGTTGAAAGAGACTTGGGAGTTCTAGTTCAGGATTCTCTTAAGGTTAACATGCAGGTTCAATTGGTGGTTAAGAAAGCAAAGGCAATGTAGGCATTCATTTGAATACAGCCAGTAAACAAGAACAGAGATGTACTGCTGAGGCTACAAAAGGTACTGGTCAGACTGAAGTTGGAGTATTGTGAATAGTTTCGGGGCCTGTATTAAGGAAAGATGTGCTGTTGTTAGAGGGGTCCAGAGGAGGTTTACAAGATTGATCGCAGGGATGAAGGACTTGTCATATAAGAATTAAAAAAAATCACATATTAGATATAAACAGTTGGGTGCAAATGAATCTTTTTAACAGTATAAAAAGTGTAAGGGCATTCCTAAGAGAGATATCAGGAAGGCAAAAAGAGAATATGAGATAGTCTTGGCAAATAAGGTTAAGGATAATCCAAAGGGATGCCACAAGTATATTAGAGAAAGAGAGCAACTAGAGAGAGAGTTGGGCTCCATAAAGGTGAAAGAGTTCATCATTGTGTTGAACCTGAGGAGATGGGAGAGATATTAAATGAATATTTTGCCTCAGTTTTTATTGTGGAGAAATAAATGGAGGCTAGAGAATTCTGGGAAGTAAATATTGATGTTTTGGAAACAGTTCACATTGTAAAGGAGGAAGTTCCACTGGTCTTAAAAGATATTGTGTTCAGTTCTGGGTCACCTCATTATAGGAAAGATGTGGAAGCTTTCGAGAGGGTGCAGCGGAGATTTACCAGGTTGCTGCCTGGACTGCAGAGCAGGTCTTATGAGGAAAGGTTGGGGGAGCTGGGGCTTTTTTCATTGGAGCGAAGAAGGATGAGCGGTGACTTGATAGAGGTGTACAAGATGATGAGAGGCATAGATAGAGTGGATAGTCAGAGACTTTTTCCCAGGGCAGAAATGACTGTGATGAGGGGGCATAATTTTAAGATTATTGAAGGAGGGTATGGGGAGATGTCAGAGGTAGGTTCTTAGCGCAGAGAGTGGTGGGCGTGTGGAATGCGCTGCCGGCAGTGGTAGTGGATTCAGATACTTTAGAGACTTTTAAGCGACTCTTGGATAGGCACATGAAGGATAGTAAAAAGTAGAGTATGCAGGGGAGATTGATCTTAGTAAGATAATAGGTCGGCACAATATCGTGCTACGAAGGGCCTGTACTGTGCTGTGCTGTTCTATGTTTTACGTTCTGTATAAACGTGGATATTTCTCTGTGTCCTGAACTTGTGTATCCCAGGACGTTGTGAAAGTTAGGGAGAAAATTGTGAGCCTCGTGTGGAAAAATTTGCATCGTCTCTAAATACTGGTGAGGTGTCTAATGACTGGAGAATGGCTATCGTTTGCACCTGTTTAAAAAGTGATGTAAGGAGAAACCTGGGAACCATAGACCCGTGAGACTTTGCATTTGGAGAGGCAAGGAATGATTAGGGATAGTCAGCATGGTTTTATGCAAGAGAAATCGTGTCTCAGGGCACAACAGTACACGTTGTCTACTTGGAGTTTAGTGAAGCCTTCAACAAGGTTCCATTTGGCAGACTAATTAGTAAAGTTAGATTACGTGGGATTCAGGGTGAGCTTGTCAATTGGATACATAATTGGCTTAACGGCAGGAGACAGAGACTGGTGGTGGAGGTTGTTTTTCAGTCTGGAGGCCTTTTACCAGTAGTGTTCGACTGGGTCTGCTGTTGGGTCCACTTCGACAGTGAAGGTTATCTCAGACTACAAAGAGATCTTGATCAATTGGGTCAATGGGCTAAGGAGTGGTAGATGGAGTTTAAATTTGAATAAATGCAAGGTATTGCATTTTAGTAAAACAAACAAAGGCAGGACTTACACAATTGAAAGCTTTGTGAATCATTGCGGAGTGTCATATCTGTGTTTCAGACAGGGCCAAGAGGCAGCAAGTGATAAACAGAAGGTGCAGGTGCCACTCAAATGCAGTTTATTTGCGACCTGAGGGCAATGGGGAAGGCGAGGGGAAGGCAGGGGATTCCTCTGTCTCTCCATCCAACTGGTTTCTTTCCTGTATTTTATCTTGGAATATCTGGGAGAAACTCTGCTGGGACTTGTCATCATTTTAATGGGGAAGTGGATGGGTAGGATAGGTGTGCCAGGATGTGGGAAGGGAGTGGGATCCCTCCATATTCGATTCTCTCCTACTGGGCGCTATTGGTCTGTGTGGGGTTTGGGGGTAAACGGAGCATATTGTTTCCATTGACTGGGACTTCATTCCTGTCTCTGAGCCTGGGGGTGTTGAGGGAATGGAGAGGCCAGTGCAGTCTCAGGTTTGGAGATAAGGAGGGAGGCTCAATATTTCAAAGGGGCAGAAACTGCAGGGTCTGACACCCCCACTCCCTCACGGCCAATTTTTGGGATGAGATTAATTCTCTCTCATCAACAAGTGGCCATTTTCATGTTTTGCTGCCTGTCTGATCCTGCGCAGTGGACAGTGTAGGGGCCAAGATGGTGGTGTTGGAGGGAAAAGGGAGACAGCTGAAAGAGGAGCGGGGGTTCTGGGGGGAAGGGGGTGAGGGGTTAACTCCAGTGTTCAGTCCGAGCCCAGCTCTAAGTTAAAATGGGGGCATTTAGTATTTGCTGGTGGACTCAGTGGGGGAAGTCCTGTTTTCACGTTGCAGCTTGTGGGATCTTGTTGTGTGGGAATAGCTTGCGGTCCTTTCCTTTACAGTAGCAGGGATCCACCATTTCCAAATTCAGATGAGGTGGGTGCAGGGGTTGTTCTGATCTTGGGTGGTGAAGGTTTTGGGAACTTTCAGTCTCCTTCAGTGTGGGGAGGCTGGGGACAGCTGGGGGGATCCTGCTGTGCAGAATGTCCTTCATTCCAGTGTCAGTCCCTCAGTTTTGGGGGCAGGGTGTGGTTGGCTCCGACAAGTTTTGAGGGAATCCCTTGGAGGTACCAGATACGGCTGCCTGTGGAATCTTGCTGTGTACCCTCTCGGCCTGCAGGTCACCCTCAAACACAGCGTGGGCCTGTCTACGGGGCCCTGGGCTGAGATTGCTGATGGTTTGGTAGTGGGTGGAGTGCCTCATCGCTCCTTTTCCCTCAGCCCAGATCCCTCCCACCTCTCGTCACCCCCTTGCCCTCCAAAATGTGATATTGATGTTGCAATTGTCTACGAGACATGGTGGGGAGATTGCAACATGTGGAAAACATAAGGCAGGAGAGGACATTTCAGTCAAAACACAGAGAAAATGAGGAAAGAGAGAGAGAAAAATAGATATCGATTGATTGTCAAGAGCAGGGAAAGCTGAGCAGAGGTGGAGAGGTCGACAGGGACAAAGAGAGGAAGATAGAGGGAGAGAGGAGTGAAAGAGAGAGAGAGAGAGATAGGGGCAGAGACAGACAGCGAGAAAGAGATTGAGAGAGAGAGATTGATTCTCGAGAGCAGCAGAAAGCTGAACAGAGATCAAGAGGTGGATAAGGACAGAGAGAGGGAGAGAGACAGAAAGAGAGAGAGAGTTTGATTAATTTCCGAGGGCAGGAGATAGCTGAGCAGAGATAGAGAGTTAGATTGGGACAGAGAGAGGGAGAGAGAGAGAGAGAGAGAAAGGTAAGTGTATCAGTTCATCATTAATATTTCATGTAGAAACCGCACCAATCCCGGAAGTAGTGGACATGGGCTCTGTGCCTGATGAATGGGAGTGGGACGGTCATTGGTCTTCTTATTGTGTTTTTTTTTACCCTCAGAGTGTTAGAAAACCAGCTGCAGGGACGAAGGGAGAGACGCAGGCTCTGGGGAGTGACTCCCCACCATTGAGTCATTGCCCAGCCTCTCAGAAAGTAAACACTGGATGTAGTCAGAAAACATTTGCCTCCTGATCCCAGATCAAATCTGTTAATATTCTCTGGTTTAAAATCAGGAGAAAATGCTGATAAATTGGGGAAATTTTGAAAATAAGTCTGTGATGGAATCTCATATATTCCTCTGCATTTTTGTTTCAGTACGTTGGCTTTGATGTAATCAATTTCCTTCTACCTCCCTGAGGAGATTACTGACAGACTGAAGCTTGGACACATACGGAGGTAGACACAATCTCTGGAAGTGGAGATGGTCAGGGC